GGGGACTTGTTGTTCTTCGAGAAGTCGGAGCCTGAGCGCGAGGCGGAGCCGGAGGGTGAGCGGGAGCACGAAAGTGAGCGCGAGGAGAGCGCGTGCCCGCGAGGAGCCACTGCGCGCGTTCGCGCCCCCCGCGCGACGCCAGGTAAGAAGCTGCCGGCCTGGGGCGGGGAACAAGGTGGGCGCGGGGCCCGCCTGGCGCTGAGTCACGGCCGCCCGGGTCCCATTCACCTAGTGGGGGAGTGTAGGCTGGCCACAGACTCTCACCCCGCGAGACGGGGCCCACGCACCTGTTAAGGTGGGTCCGTCCGGACGGCCGAGCTCATTTCCCCCTGTTGCGACGTCGAGACTCTGGGCCTTGGTTCTCTTGGCCTGCAGCGCCGCCTCCGCTGCACGTGTCGCCCGAGGCCAGAGCCCGGAGCTGTGGACGCCCAAGCCTTTCCTTCCGACCCTCTGCCCTACGGCCCTCCACACCTGCGCGGGCTGAAAGGCGGGGCAGTAGGAAGCCGCCACGTGCAGGGGAGCGCGTGGTCGGCGCCCCACTCGTGGCACACGTTTGTTTACCTTGCCGCTTCCGCCCTGTGGATCCCAGAGGCTGCTCCGCACCACTTCCTACCCATGAACAGCATGCGCTCAATGGCAGGGTCCATGCTGCTCTGGGGGAACTGGCAGGGGTTAACCCAGCCCTCCCCTGAAGTGAGGGAAAGGCCGTTGGGGGCCTGATGTCACTTTTGAATCAGGTGACCTGCCTGGGGCACCGGAAGGAAGGCCTTAATGTGGAAGCTGTGGGTGGGGTGGGCAGCAGGTGATAGTCTTGGCAAATGTGTTACCTCGCTCACTTTCCCCATGGCTAGTCAGGGGCCAAGACCTCTTCTAACTGTAGATACATTTGCCTTCTGTGCTTCATGTCATGTTCAGGGTAGGTAATGTGTTAGTCTACCTGCTTCTGCACCCCCTTCTCCAGGGCCTGGGAGGTGGGACAAGAAATCAGCAATGAATCTGAAAATCATGACCCCTCCTGAACCTTGGTTGTTGACTTGGTTCTGCCTTAGACGAAGCATGTAGTCTTGCCCTCTGCCTCCATAGTATTCTCACTCTTACTCCATGCGTGGAGTCTTCAGTAACACAGAACTTGCTGTGTTCAGGGAGCAATTCATATTTTGGTGGCTGGCAGCTGCTGGGCTCTCTGTAACTTGTGTTAATGATTATGCTGTTGCTTACCTTCCTGCAGCTCTTGTAGCCAAAGCAGTTATTGAATACCCTAACAATTTATTCACTAATAAGCAGTCACCCTTTTCTTGCCACTGTCTGGCCTCAAGAATCTCCTGAGGCTCACAAACCCTCTGCAGGAGGTAACATGATAGAAACCTGTGTGATGTTGCTTTGATACAGACTTTCTTTCCCTTTGATTTCCCAGAATGGGATTTAGGACCCCCTTTATTGGCATTGATGAGTTTTTGCTGCAACAGCAACATTGTAAAGGGCATCTTGATAAAGCGTAGGCATATGCTTTGTCTCGTCTGTGCTGTGATGCCTCCGGAGCTGGCTTTCTCCAAGCCCGTTTTCAGGAATGTAGAGCTTTTTTCTTTACTTATTTCCATGAGCGATCAAGAGAGACATATAGCATACCCCCTACAGTGTCTTGATGATACGATCCATTCCCAGCTTCAGCCAGCCTCAGTTCAGGTCCATGCATTCCTGGCATACTTAGGAAGGTCTACAGACTTGAACCTGGGACCTTTTCTCATGAGTCAGCTTCAGAGAGCATTGTGTTTTACCACTGCTCCATCATCTGGCCCCAGAGACAGGGAGCTTTGAGAAAGGATGTTAGTGGGGCAGCAGGTGGCGTGAAAGTTAAGGCGTTGGATCCCACAAGGCCAGCTGTGTGATTAGAGTTCTGGACGTGGTGCTTGAAAATCACACCAGGCACATGTGTGTGCATGTGCGTGTACCCAATGTGTGTGTGGGTGTACCCAAAGTCCTGAGAAGAGAATGGAAGAGGGGATTGCAACTTGGTCATCCCCCTTGGGGGATGATTTCTCACTTTCCCCTTCTGTCTCTGTCTCTCTGTAAGGTGACTGGATTCTACATGGCTGTCTGAACAGTTAAAAGTCCCTGACTCTACAGCCTGAAAAAAATACCCCAGGCATGTGCACGTGTGTGTCCAAAATCCCAGGAGAATGGAAAAGGGACTGTGACCTGGCCATCTCCCCTGGGGGTGGTGTTCTCTCACTTTCATACATGTTATCATCATTAATTTTCCATTTATGTATATATATATATACATGTATATATATATATATTTCTTTTTTGAAATAAAAGGTGTTACAAGTGGGTGGATGGGTGTGGAAGCTTGGGCTGTGTGGGTGTCCAACATACTCCTATATCCTGTTGCACTGCAGGCAGTCAGCATTATTGATGAGAACCTCTTCCCTCTGTAGGTAACCCAGTAGGAATATCTGAGTTTGACTTTGGTAGGGGAATCTGCTTTTAGAACTTAAAACTGAATCTCTAATTATTCCAAAATAATTTTATTTATTAAAGCAAAAAACAAACCAGGCTTTTCTTCTGGACCTTATTTGCCTTTTGTACTTGAACCTAGCCTGAGCTTTCAGGGGCCAGTTCCAAGTTCAGTGTTGCTTACTTTCCAGGTGGTTTTTTAAAATGGGGGTTGGCAGAAGGTACTTGGAAGTTCACTTTCAGGGTAGGGGCTCCCTGTGTTCCAGCCCTTTCTCGAGCACCGTGAGATTACTGTTGATTAAGACTGTTTTCTGGACCATTCTGTGTCCACTGATGTGCACACTTTCACTCTTGGGGCATGGTGATCGCCAGAGGATTTGTTTACAGTCTCAGGCAAAGCTTTTTGCCATCTAGACCCAGAAGAAGTCATACCTGTTTCTGTCCTGGCTGTTTCCGAGTCTAAAGGTTTCTAGAGTGGACTTTCTGGATTTCGGGTCCAGTCCACACGGGAAATGGAAATCCGGCCAGCTGGGAGAATTCTGTGTGTGGCTGCTCTTCAGAGCAGTAAACAGTGACTCACCCTCTCTCTCTCCCCACCCTCCCTGTTCTCTGCTAATGGGAGATGCGATGCTTCGGTATTTACTTTTGCTTTTTATAAGTCACAGACTCGTCATGTTTCCTCTTTCTTATAGATTCAGGAAATTGAAAGTGTCACCTTAAAATCATAGGATTTTAGAGCGGGTAGAAATGAACCTGAGCAGTTACAAACCCCAAGACCACCCATTTCAGGCAAGGAAACCGTAGCCCGAAGTGTTCGCTAGCTTGGCTGAGGTCACAGGGTTGGTGGCTGGGAGTCCGGTCTGGTCCAATGCCTGCTTGCTTCTCAGTGCAAGTGCTGCTTGTTAGGGTGTCCTGGGGAGGGCCAGCAGAGGGGCATCAGGGCAGTGGCTCCACTTCCAGGCTCCCCTTTACCTGCCCAAGCCCCCTGCCCTCTGGTGTTGGGAAGGGTGGGGCCTGACATACCTGATGATGCAGCAGACCTTTCTCAAGGCCATGCATCCTGTGGAGAGCTGGGGGAGCCAGGTAACAAGGGGTCCCTGATGCCTAGAGCTCACCATACAGTGAGGAGGCCACCTGTCAAGGGAAAGATCCGGAGCCAGGTCTGGGTAGAGGTGTGTTCCTGCCAATAGGAGGGCTTTCTGGAAGAAGTGGGTGGAAGGAGGGGTGGGACCATGTGCCTAGTACAGACAGGGACTGTCAAAAGTTAGAGTGGTGGCCTGAAATGATAACAGGAAGCTGGGGAGTAGGGAGCTCAGGAGAGATCCCAAGGCTGCCTGCCTGCAGGGACAGCATGGGAAGCACCAAGATCAGAGTCATGACCTTCCATTCAGCTCAAGTTGTGGTCCAGACAGGAGGGGCTGGGGATTCCAAACTGGGGCGGGTGCTGCGGGGATGGGCAAAAGACACTTAGGGGCCAAGAGCATCAAGTCTGGGTCAGCAGTGTAAAGAGAAGGAGGGTCAGGTGGGGGGAGGACAGGCATGTCTGGGTTATCGGGTTTTTCCAGGGGACATCCCTGGCTGGATGTGGAAGTTGGGAGCTGGTTGAAGCCTATGACAGCTAGAGTGAGAACAGAACTCTGAAGGGACCAGGAGGCAGAGGGCCCACTCCAGGAATCAGTGAATGGGAGGAGTAGGGTGCAGGGAGGAAGGGTGGGGGCTACTGGAGATGGTGTGTGCAGCCTGCTGTCAGCCGCAGCAACTGCCTGAGTCACCTCTGGATGTAGCCGGGATGACACAGCTTCCTTGGACTGCAAATGCAAGGTGACCAGACGTCCTCCAAGCTGAGCAGACAGTCGTGGCTTGCCGGAGGGCGGTCAGCCAGGGCCAGGCTGCAGGCTGGTGCAGCCAGGCTGGGGGGTGTGGAGGGGGGTACTATGGGATGCATCCTACATGCCAAGGGGGGGCCATGTCCAGGGGTGGGAGGGGCTGTGCAGAGCCTTCCTGGTCTAGGACCTTGCCTTCAGTAGGAAGGTCATTATTTGCTCCTCTGTGGGACCAGCTGGGGTCACAATTAGTCAAGGTGTTTATTTGACAAGTGCTTACTGGTTGTTGGTGCTGTCAGTCCCACCTGCCTTTGTGCCCATCTGAAGGGGCATTCAGCTTTGGGTCACTTAAAAAAGGTTCCTAGCTTCTGAGCATCCTTGGTGGGTTCTGGTTTTGTGGCTATGTCCATCCTGGTGAGTGACCCAGGGGCGCAGGCAGTGCTGCCTTGCAGGGTTCTGTAACCTGCTCTTGGACAGAACTTCTGTCTTCCCTTCCTTCCTTTCCTCCTGCCCTCTCCCCTTTTTCCATATCTGACATCATCTGAGACCTGTGGAGAATAGTAATGGAAAGGGGCACTCTACTCCCGTGTTTATCAGGTTTCTGGGGAGGGCTGAAGGGAACCAGGATGGATGTGCGGTTGGCCTCGCTGTTACCAGGCTTATGCGTGCAGACCAAGTGTCTCATTGGAAGCCCACCATGCTAGGCATCAGAGACAGGCAGTAATGAGGTAGGCAGTGTAGGTCAGTCACAGGTCTAGGTAAGAATTAGAACGCTTTGAAACTGCGCAATCTCCTTTCCTTGTAGACAGGCCATCCCCAGGACTGTTTGGGTGGGGTCATTGGTCTGGTCAGCCATCTTTCTTTAGGAAATGTCCTTCCTGCTCCTTCTCACCACATGCCAGCAAATTGAGAGATGGGGCGCTGCTGGAGTGTCCGAGGGGTAAATCCCTCTAATGAGCGCAGCCGGAGCAGTGAGTGACCAGTGCATATTAGCTGAGAGTTGAAAAGTAAAAGGATGGCAGAGATCTGAGATCCACTGCCTCCAGCTCACCTGTTTTCTGAAAGGGCAGTTTCTTTTCTTTTCTTTTCTTTTTTGGAGAGGTTTTTGCTATAGGGCGTGTGCGCTTGCCAGACAGAGAGAGACAGCGAGAAATCACCCCCCGGGGGGATGGCCACACCGCAATCCCTTCTCCTCCTCTCAGGATCTTGGGCACACATGCACACGTGCCCAGCATGAGTTTTAAACCACCAGGTCCAGGACTTGAACTGTGATCGACTACATAGGAGTCCAGCGACATAGCCATTATGCTAACTGCTGGTCCCTGAAAGGGCAGTTTCTGGGCTGCCAAGCCAGGAATACCTGGCTGGATACTGGTGCCTGGGTTACCTGCCCTATTCTCCCGACACAGGTTTTGATCCTTGCAGTGTGTCTCCAGGGCAGCACAAAATAGTCCTGCCCTTAACAGGGCCCTGCCCTTCAGTCTCCATCCTGGAGGAGGAGGGTACAGCTCCTTGATTTATTTGAACCTGCAGTCGCCGGACTAGATTCCCACTGAGGCTGCTGGTCTGTTTTCTCTAAGAAGAAACCACTTTTCCTGTCGAACCTTGTTTAGCTGTATGTGGAGATGAAGTTTTCCACCTTTTCAGCTAGAAAAAGTCACCTAACAGGTACTAGCCACCGCTCCAGGGGTGGGGAGGTTAGCACTGTTACTGTTCCTTAGATCGGTGAATGGGCATGTGCGGCCAGAATTCAGGCCTGCTGTCCCCAGCCTTGGCCTCAGTCTCAACTTCTCTGGTCACGTAGCTCAAATTCAGGAAAGTTGACAGGGATGTCGGTGCTCTCTGCACAGCGTTGCTGGTCTTTTAGTTGCTGGACGTCAGACAGAGTGCCCAGTGGGTCCTCATGGAAACTGCCGAAGGTGCCAACCCACTGCTGATGTAGTAGTGCCGGTGGTAGAAGGGGGAGTGGCATCTCCAGAGCATTGCCTGGCATGACTTCCTAAAATTGCAGCCTTGGGACCAGCATTAGCGTAATGGTTACATAGCTCGACCCCCTCATGGCCGAACATGGTTTGAGTCCCAGAACTAGCAGCTTCAAACTCACACTGGACACATGTGCGTTTATGCCCAAAATCCTGAGAAGAGAGTGGAGAATAAGGGATTGTGGCGTAGCCATCCCCCCTGGGGGTTGGTTGACTTCTCACTTTCTGCCTCTCTGTCTCTCTGGCCAGTGCACATGCCCTATAGCAAAAATCTCTCTTTAAAAAAAAATGGTTTACAAAGCCACTCTTAGAGCAGTCGTTTATTTTAGATCAGTTGTTTTCAAACTCCTTGTCACATAGGTGAAGCTCCCCTCTGAACCTCTTTCTTAAAGAAAGCTGTCATTCTTCTTGCCTTTGATGTTTTGAAGGGCTTTGGGTCAGTATTGCATGGGTTTATTCTGTCTTTTGGGCAGAGGTCAGCAGGGCACTGTTTTTACCCACACCCATGTGCTGCGTTCACAGAAGAGCCGCACCTGCCCTTGCTCCAGGCACCTGACCCAAGGGCAGGTCCCTGAGACTTGCAGCTGGTCTGGGCCTCAACTTGTCCAGGACCGTACTAGCTGTCTCATCTTTCATGTGGGACATCTGCTGAGGCACTGGCCAGATGGGACAGTGGCTGAGTTGTCCCTAAGGTTGGTCAAGGCTTCCCCGAAATGGCAGGTTCCTGTAGCAGAAGCAGAGCCCTGATCTGCCCAAGGCAGTAAGGGTATGTCTGTGAACACAGGCCTGTGGAACAGCATCCCTGCCTGGAGCCCCCTCCCCCAGGCCTAGCAGTGAGTAAGGGTTCCTCGGAGGGACCCTTCAGTGAAGGTACACTTGACAGGGGAGCTCCATCTGTGGTTCAGGAGTCCCAGGTCAGAGTTTCTCTCTCAGCATCTCTTCTTAAGCCCAGCCTGGGACTTTTGGGGGCTGGACAGGACCCTAAGGCCCCTGGTTTTGAGTTCCTCCTATTTTTTTTTTTTTTTGAGAGTATTTTTTTTTTCGCTATAGGGCGTGTGCGCTCGCCAGACAGAGAGACATAGAGACAGAAAGCGAGAAATCACCCCCCAGGGGGGATGGTCACACCGCAATCCCTTCTCCTCTCGGGATCCTGGGCACGCACGCACATGCGCCCAGCATGAGTTTTAAGCCACTGGGTCCGGGACGCAAACCGTGGTCGACCACATGGGAGTCCAGCGACATAGCCATTATGCTAACTGCTGGTTCCCAAGTTCCTCCTTTTTTAGAAGAGGAATTAAAGACCCACAGAGAGAAGAGGGTTCAGTTCTGTCATCCCAGCATTGTCACATGCTGAGTAAGGCATCTCGGGATGATGCGACTGTCACCTCGACAGCTGTGCACATCCTCTTCAGCCTCATGAGTTACCACCTTTCAAACTGGGGTCCAAGAACTGAAGGTCGTTCTCTGAGACCAGACCCAGCAGGAACCCCATGGGCTGCTCTGCGCTCAGTGGTCCTTGGTCCCCAGAAGCCAAGCAAGGTGGGTGACCTCAGTGGCAAGGGGCTAAGCCTCCACCCAGTGTGTCCTGGTAGAGTGTGCCAGGGAGAGATCACTACCCTGAACTTTGCCCCTTGGTGCCCAGTGGAACTCAGCATGTCACTGGGAGTCTGGCCAGAGAGTCCCTTCCCTGGGACCTTCCTTTCCTGCTTGGCTTTGCCATGGCAGGCAGGAGGCACGGTGGGCCCCAGTGAGTGGGTCCTTAGAGGGGTGGGAGGGGCCTGTGCTGTGTGGGAATGTGAGCTCCCAGCTCTGTAAACAGCTGGTGACTCACCGCATAGCTATGTCGCTGGCCGCTCCAGGCCCTGTGCGCTGACGCTGTGGAGTGTGAGCTGGAAGAGATGCCTCGGCAGCCCCTCCCCCTCTGGACATGGGAAGTTTCTCATGGCACTTCAGCCGCCGCCTTGCTGCGTAGGTCCCTCAAGGTGGAAGGGGTGGCCTTCTGCAGTGATGAGGGTCAAGTGACTGTCAGCAGCTCTCCCACCTCCCTGTTAGGATCACCCCTGATTGCTGCTGATTCCATCTTGGGCACAAGAGTCAGTGCTTGGTCCTACTTGGCAGAGGAGCCCAGAGCCCCTCACCTGGACCTAGCCTCTGCTACTGTCTTGCTCTGTCAATTGTCAACGCCCTTGAGAGTGGCTGAGTTGCTGGGGATCTGATGTCTGCAATTGGTACAGAGACCCTGCCTCAAATTTGCAGCCTGCGTGGTTATGGAGGGTGGGTGGGTTGTGAAGATGGGGCACAGGAAAGGGTAGAAGGATTCAGGCCAGAGGCTCGCTTTTCCCAGATATGCAGGGAGGATGAGATCAACACTACTTCTTTTTTTGCACCCCTCTTTCCAATGACATCCAGTGGCGGTCCACCCTTTTCTGTCCTCAGGCACCCAAGGACCCCTCTCCTTCACTTGTCTCTGATGTTCCTTCTGCTCAGTGCATCTTGTCTGGCACTGGAATGTGGGGGGTTGGGAGCGGGAGGGAGGCTGGTGTACACCATGATCCTGTGGGCTATTGGTGTCCTCCCTGTCCTCCTCTGGCTCCTGCTTGGCCCCTTCTGCCCCTTCCCCAGCTGTTGGGGTATGAATGAGTTTGTTTACCGTCTGACAACCTCGTGATGTCTTGCCTGACCTGAAGTCATGATTGCTTTTGGGCTTCTCTGTTTCCATGACGACCATCAGGGGTTGGCTACTTCCCAAGGTCGCCATGGCAACTATCAGAGGGGAATCATGCTTGGGATGCTTTGGCTGGGTTTTTCATGAATGATTAGAATGTGTGACACAATGCAG